ATCGTCACTATGCGCAATGGAGGTGGGTGTGCTGCCTTTCAGTTCTTTGATATGTTAATTCTCAAGCATGCCCTCATTCATTCATTCATTCATTCATTATCTTTTTGGGTGAAGTACCAAACTGAGATTCCTAGGAAAGAAGATCAGGTGCCCAGGTCACAAGACACAAGAGCATGTGATTTTGCTGGGGTCATTTAAAAGTCATTAGTCCAGATTATTCCATTTTATGTCACTCCTCCACTGTCTGTTTTTTTCTACCTGCATATTCAAAATTAGCAGAACCTTTTGGCTCATAGTGACTGGTTCTTTCAGAGGAAAGATGGCCTAAGTGTCATTTTTGTGTTCCTTGCTCTCAGTTGGAATTCACTAAATGTGAATTGGATGAGTGCCTTTCCTTGAGCTCCACTACTGCAGGTCCAATGCTGATTGGTGTTCTTGGGGCATACCTACATTAGAGGGGAGGCAGGCACAGGGGCTTAGCCAGACTGGACAAGAGAGTAACTGACAGCGGCAGGCAGCCAACCCAGGCAATTCATTCTGACCAAGATGGCTGAGGAGAACATGTTGTAATTAAATTTCCTAAGCATTGGTGTTTCTCATTGGGGCAGGAGACTGTCGCTTTGAGACTTGACTGAAATGTAAGTCTCTGGCATAAAGAGAGTAACTCATCAGACCATCATCCTACATCATCATGACAACAGATTAAGTTATCAGATTGGTACCAATACTTGACTACACTGAGAAAAGGCAAATTAGTTATGTCAACTACTGATTCTGTGACAAGGGAAAACCATGAATAATCAACAAAAAAGCTGGGAAGGACAATTTGAAAGCAGCTTTGCAAACTATTACCTGGAAGGCACTGAGTGTAGACCATGCAGAAAGGAAGTAGGAGAGCCAATAATAAGAGAGTGGGACCAAAGTCACTGCTTTAGAGCTCAGGTTATGGAAGGCAAGCATTGGATGAATCACTCAATTGCAACCTAATCCACCTGGAGTTCTTTGTAGCCTTGTGAAAGCCATCAGAATCAAATTGGAGTCACTTATGTCAAACTTCAGCAAAATAGAGGAGCATAAAGGAGAGACCCCCATGCAAACACATCTATGATTTAAAGCCATTATAAGTAATCCTTGAAAAGCACAACATTGCACAAAAGCCACTGCCATTTTACACAGAGAGTACTTCTGTATAGACGTCTGCCCAGCAACTGCCTATTCAACTTTGGGTTTGTTATAGATCCAACCAAGGATACTTGTTTCAAAACAACTTATATAACCTTTTCATTTTGCTCTTAAAAATTTCTTATCACCTCAGTCTCCCTGAATATGCCTCTTATGTATCATAGACACATATCCCAGATTAAAATCCCTTGTTCATTCTGGAATGAATTTGTTTCTTTTGGGAGCCCCTCTCTCTGTTATTTTGTGTGGCCAGCATCAATGGTTTAGCATGCAGTAAGGTCTTTTGAATGCTTACATACTGCCTGGGAAAGGTGCTGGTGGTCTAGTGACACTGGCACCACTAGGAAGCCTCTTGGTTCTGCAGAACTCCAAGTGAGGAAAGCAGCTGGAGTGGGCATCAGGATCTGTGTCTGCCTCCTCAGGCTATTTAGACTCAGAAGAACTGTTCTCATGTGCCTCTAATTTTTCAGTGCTCCTTTTCTACGGTCTGTAAAATATTGTCTTGGTCATGAGGTGGATAAAAGTAGTTTTGCTGAGGATGAGCTAGAAGGGAATGCTAACCCAGCTCACACATTCATGAAATACCTGACACCTCTGATTTTCTCTTCTTTTCTCTTAACTATTCTTCCAAACTCAGAGTGGTAGGCCAGCTTTTCCTCAGAGAAAGCACTGCTCTGTCCCCATTCTTCCAGTGTGGATTAGGAGGACCCTTTCCAGGGGCTCCTCATGAAACTTTGTGTCGCTGTCTTCCCGCTTGCAGCACTATGTAGCATAACTGTTTGTGTCCTGCTTGTCTGCTCACCGAGGACAGCAATGTCTCTCGTTTAGTTCATCCACACTGCTAAGTATATAGGTGTACTGGTAACATTGGTTGAATGTAATTTAGCTGACCATAAGCTGAGCACTGTCCTCTATTCGTTACACTCCAGTCCATTTATGTTTTCCTGTTATATCTTTTGCTATATTAAGCACAAGCAGCACCAGAAAGCATTCTCCTTGTAAAAATACAAGGAAAAATATATGAGATAAATGACCCGAGGCCACATGTCCCCTCTCAGCCTCACTCCTTCCTCCCCAGAGCCTGCCAGTGTTATGATTTGGGTTTGTTTTCTCTTGTAAGTTTTATATGCAGTTATAAATACATATATATGTGAAGAAATATGCTATTTTGCTTCTGTCTCTTAACAATGCATTGTACATTCCATACACGAGCAGATAACTCATTGAGTTATTTTTAATGGTTACTTGACAACCCAGCGAGATTAGGGAAGGAACTGGAGTTGGTTTACATGAAAAATGGACATACTGAGAAGCACTACCTAGTTCTCAGAATTTGTGGGAGGGTAAAACTAGAGCCTGAAGCCATTTCGTTGGAGCAATGCCTCAGCTCCTTGCATGTACTTGTACTGGGTGGAGCATCTGCAGTGGAGACCCAGGGCTACTTCCTTTCAAGCCCCAGTGGAGCTGAACTCTCTAAAGCTAGTCCTGCTGCACTGAAGAGCCAGACACTTCTGACTGCACTTTCTGGAAACTTCTCTTCCCTCTAGCAACCTGCTCTTCTGGCTTCATTGTCATCATCTCAGTCATTTTTCATCCTTAAGGCAACAACAGATACTGTGACCCTTGAGAGAAACTCAAATCTTGGATTGCCAATACAAGCTATGGAAATTTGGTGGCAAATAACAACAGTGAGCTAACAACTAAATATAAAAGCAGATCTCACACTCAATGACAACTGTGAAGTAAGTAGGAAGAAATCACGCAATTTAACTAGAATTCGAGTCTCTGATACCCAGGTTCCACTTGGAGGCTGAGCAGAGTGGAGCGGGAGACAGTAGCACTGGTCCTCTTGTGTGAGGGAAAGTGAATGGGATCGCTGCTCAGCACTCCTCACATGCACTAAAATTTGTTGACAGAAGCATAATTAAAATGAAGCTGTTCTCTTGAATTAATTTCTCAGTTTTATGGAACATATCTTACAATATAGAACATATCTTATAGTCTATTAATGCTGAGTTCCTCTACCAATCTCTATTCCATCTAATATTTTACTTATTATTTTTATTTTTTGTTGTATGAGTGCATTGCCTGCATGTGTGTAAGTGCATCCATGTCATGCAATGCCCCCCCACAGTCAGAAGAGGGCATCGGATTCCCTGGAACTGGAGTTGTGGGCACTTGTTAGCTGCCATGTGGGTGCTGGGATTTGAACTTGGATCTTCTGCAACAGCAGCCAGTGCCCTTGACTGCTGAGCCATGTTTCCAGCCCTGAGACCCTAACTATATATGCATATACACAGAGAGAGAAATGTACTGGTTTATTGTTTTTCCAGTGTGATGACATGAATAAAAATTTAATTTGATGAAACATTCTTTTTGGCTTCCTATTTTCCTATATCTACAATGATCAGCTTTTTCTGAACCCAAACACAAATGCATGCCTTGAGTAAGGAACTGAGATGCTTTCTCTTGGTTTCACTGATTTTGAGCTCAGTAATTCACAGAGGTGATTTGTTATGAATGTATTTTGCTATACTATGCATGCCTTTGAGTCACAGTCACTTAAGAAAATCTGTCCCAACCTGGGTGTGGATCTTTTGCAAACACTTGGAATCTGCTTGTTGCTTAGAGAAGAAGACAGTGTGAGAAGGGGTTAGGGGAGGAGGGCAGGAGACCTGATTAAGCTAATTTGGGGAGAGAGTACACTGAGCTGTCCAGATGCAGAGGAATTTTCTCTAGGCTGTGTTCCTGGAAGTCTGAAATACTTGTATTCGGTGATCTTCCCACTGGAGGTATAACAGCAGTAGATGATAGGTATCTGTAGCACTGGACTAGGTATATGTACCATCTCATTTCAAAACTGAAAATCTTTTTGTAGCGGTATTATTATAATCTGTATTTTGTAGTTCAGAAAGTAATCTGTTTATTAAATTCAAATTCCAACAACACATACTCTGTGTGTGTGTGTGTGTGTGTGTGTGTGGTTGTGTGCTCCACCACTGAGATATATCCTCAGTTGTCTCTCTCTTTTATTTTAATTGATTGACTGATTGATTGATTAATCAATTTAGAGATAGTATTGCTACATTGCCACAGTTGGCCTGAAACTCACTCTGTACCCCCAGGCAGGCCTTGAACTTGTGATTCTCCCTGCTTAAGCCTTCCAAGTAGCTAAGATTCTAGGCCTGTGCTACTATGTCTTGCTTGATGGTCTCTGTTTCTAAGAATGCCTGAAACTATACAGTTGGAGATTGTTTCACTTGACATGAAGCTATGAGGCTTCCTAAGAGGCAAATATTGGGAGAGGAATGACACAGTTGTGCGTCCTCTGAGCAAACAGGCTTATCAGATCTTTTGGGAGCTAGAGTTGGTAAGAGGGAAGCCAGAGACTGTATGATTTAAAGAGCCCTTCACAGTCCAGAAAAGAGGGTGCCACTGAGGAATTTGGGGAGGTAAATAGATTTTTCTCAGAGATGCTTAATCAAATAACCAAACCCACTAGTAGAAACAAAACAGGAGAAAAGACAGAGGCAGAAGGTGGGCTGAGTCCGGCAGAGGCCAGCTTTTGAGACAACCTGTGAAGAGGTTCAACTAGGAAAGGGAAGGTGCACCAAGCAGAAGGAGGTACAGCTAGGACAGATGGAGACAGCCGCTGAACAGGGCTGCAGGCATCCTGTGTACACAGTTATGCGGTCACTTCCAGGATGCAGACCAAGCAGAGCCAACCCATCTGCTGAAGATCAGAGGCCCCTCAGGTTGGTGGGTGCCTAGCCCCTCATTTTCTGCTCACATTAAAATCTTTTCCTTTCTTCTTACCTCCTCTCCATTCTCTGTCACAGAGCCAGCCAAAAATAGGTTTGTGGTGATGGGCCAGGTTCCATGAAGGAGTTTTATTTACTCATGCACTAGGCCACCCGCAGGCAACTTATCTGCATGAGGAGGGAAGCACAGTTAAAACAGGTTCCCACATGAGTAACAGTGAGCAGCAGGCTCACCTTGAGCAACACAGTTCCTGTGAGGCCAATTAGATGGGAGGAGGCCCTCTGTAGCCCAAACTTCCCATGTAAAAGGCTCTGTTTCCTGTGAAGGCTGCATGTGCAGGCTACAGGGTTAGGTCTGCAAGATGAAAAAACTCATCATGTTTACAAACTGAAAAAACTACATTATGAAAGTTCTTACTAAGAACACAATTATATTCTCTTTTCTGATGATAATAGTATTGCTTTGCTCAATAAGAGTAATTAAAATAAATATACTGGGCTATTATAACTCTTGTTTCATTTTTGTGTTTCATACAAGAAGGTACATTTAGGAACTTTCGTTATATTTTCCAGGTTGCTTCCACCTCCCACCTGCTCCAGCTAAGTTCTCATTTATTAGCTAGAATGGGTGCATTTATCTTTTTAATACTCTCAAGTCTTTGGGGGAATGTGGAATTTTTCAGGGCCTTTGGGCTTTCTCACCCAAAGCCCTCACTTCTTACTGGAGCTCTAATTCCTTCTCCCTCTCCCTGTCTTCCCAAAGCCCCACTAGCGCTGCACTCTGGTCACAGTGTGAAAGCTGACTTTGACTTTACTGCTTGTTTTTCTACTTCAGTCCTTTCACCACGCACAGCAGTAGGAGGATGGCCAATATTTAGAAGTCACTGCAACCCTCTTCCATGGCACAGTCTGAGCAAGATGACTAACAGAAGCTATTGATAAACTGGATGTGGGCACCTCCCTGCTCCACCTCCTGGGCAGTTCAGGAGCCTCACATGGGGAAGGAGGTAGGACTATGAAAACGTGGTATGAGAGAGGACTGCAATCCCAGGTTGTTTATAAAGTGAACATTTAGAGAGACAGAGAGGCACAAGGCTGCTATAAGACTTCACCTTTCAGAGAGATTTGTGGAAGCATTTTTCTTTTTTTTAATTTTTTAAAAATGAATAATTTATTGAGCATTTCATACATACATATAAGGTTTTGATCAAATCCATGACCCACTTCCTTCCCTCCAACTCCTCCCATATTTCTCTATCACATAACTTCATGTACCTTTTTTTTTTTTTTTTTTAATGTGACTTTTGGCTACTCTAACATTTCCCCTTCTGAAGAGGTAACCCGAAAACCTTTTAAGGATTAGATAAAAGCTCCCAAATATTTTTGACATTTTGGCCTTTGGAACGGAGTAGGTCCCCAAGAGGCCCAAGGACATTGTGAGTTTTAGCCAAGAAATTGGCTACTTTTCTTTGGGGCCTTTTTACCCTAACTGCCTAGCGAATTCCTACCTCCTATTCTTATCACACCATCCTCTGAAGAGGTTACCCAAATTGCCAATAGGGAATCAGGAAGAAGACTGCTCTGGCGTCTTCCATGCTGAGCAGGGACACAGGGTAAGGCAACAGAAGTACTCCTTCAGTGGGTCTCTCTAAAATACTCCCAAATTGCATAACTCTTATCTCAAGGAGGAAAAGAAAGTGAATCGTGAATAGGAGATGTCAAGGAGAAGTAAAGGCAAGAGTATTTAGCATTACAAGTTCTAGACAGGGAACTAGAAAAAAGTCAGAACAGGGCAATTTTCAAATGTTCATATGAGAATCCATTGGAATTTCTTGACAAGGGCTTCCGAAAGCATCCCTCTTTTGGGTTCCTCCTCATTTTTCTTTTGTCTGCCAAGGCTGAACTTGAGAGTGATGGACTCAGAATTTGTTTACAGGCACTTTAATAGCTGTTGGAATGGCTAGAATTGGTGTCAGTTCCTTCGCAAAGACTTCTAGGTGGGAGAAAACAAATTTATCCAACATTTTAGAACAATAGCTGGTTGTCTCCCTTAGCTACAGGTGGGCACTAAAGGTCCTGCTCAACGATGTCTGGCTTTACTTGGAAGCATGAATGAGATGTTTGCTCTGAGTTGACCCTCCTCTTTGGAGACTGGACACTGGTTCAAGTCTATCTCATGGGGTCTCCATGGCCTCCCTGAACAAGAGAACAGGTGATTCACCACAGTTACAGGACATTTTGAGAGATGTTCCATAGTCCCCTGGAACTTAGTCGACCTTGGAGGGCAAGGAGCAAAACTGTCCTTTAAATCCCTCTAACTACATTAGTATAGGCCTCAAACTATGGCTGTTAAACATCTAATAAGGTTAGTTCCACCAGTCTGGTACTTTTAATTATCATGTGCTGTGTAGATAAGGCTTGGATAAAAAAAAATATTCTCAGTTAAACTTTGACTAGATATATATTTTGTCCCTTAAACTAGTTGTCTAAACTATGACCATAGACATTTTAAGATTATGTGTATATTATTTTTGTCTCATCCTTTATATATCATAACAAACCTACATAGACCTTCATCACTTGCTTAGGCTTTCTCATTTTTTCTATTTTGGAAAACATCTCCATTCCCATATCCTGTTTACATTCTCATTTTCTTTTTTTAAAAAAATAATTATGAGATATGATAGCATTAGCAAATAAATTTTCCATCTGTTGTGAGACTTCTTTTCCTGGGGATACTAACTATTGCTTATTCCCTTTCAAGGTTCTAGTGTCAAGCCAATATTTGATTAAAGTTTTACTGGAGAACCACTGAATTTATTGAGCTTATTTTCCAAAACAACTGAGGGGTTGCTGAGGCCTGAGGGTATGCACACTGGAAAGCCTTTACCCAGCATGGGTCATGACTTCTTTTCCTAGCCTTCCCCAGACTGTATTTTTTAGCCCTTCCCAAATCCAGGAGGCCATGTGTGATTAGGTCAAATTATATTTGGTTGTCTGGGAAGAGTGGTTGGATAATCCAGTGAGGTCCAGTGACCCTGCTGGGGCCTCCATTAATGAATGAGCACAACCGTCAAAAAGCCCAATTGTGACGATGTTTAGCGATCAGGCTCAGCTGAAGTTGTGATGATGGTAGTTATTTCATGCAGAAGGGACTGCTGTTAGCATCATCTTATTAAAAGGACCTGGAATTGAAAAGGATTTGGTTTTAGGATCCACATATGAGGGAGAACATATGTCGTTTGTTTGTCTGAGTCTGTGTTACTTCACTTAGTATAACAGTTTCTAGATCCATCCATTTACCTGCAAATTTCCTTATTTCATCTTTCTTTACTGCTGAGTAGAACTCCATTGTGTAAATATACCACATTTTTGTTAGCCACTCATCAGTTGAGGGACACTTAGGTTGCTTCCATCTCTTAGCTATTGTGAAAAGAGCAGCAAAAAACATGATTGTACAAGTGTCTCGACAATAGGATGAGTTCTTAGGGTATATGCCAAGGAGTGGTATAACCGGGTCATATGGTAGGTTCATTTTTAGTTTTCAAAGAGTTCTCCACACTGTTTTCTATAGAGGTTGCAAGAGTTTGAATCCAGCAGTGAATGAGCATTCCCCTTTCTCCATGTCCTCACCAGCATTTGGTATTATTTGTTCTCTCAATCCTAGCCAGTCTGATTGGGGTAAGGTGATACCTTAGGGTGGTTTTAATTTGCATTTCTCTAATTACTATGATGTTGAACACTTTTTGCGATGTTTCTTAGCCATCTTTATTTCTTCCTTTGAGAACTCTCTCTTTAGATCTTTAGTCCATCTGTTAATTGGGTCATTTGGTTTCTTGATTCTTTGTTTTTTGAGTTCTTTATATATTCTGGATGTTAAAGCCTGTCAGATGTGTCACTGGTGAAAATTATTTCCCATTCTGTGGGTTTTCTTTTCACTTTTTTGATTGTTTCTTTTTCTGTACAGAAGCTTTTTAGTTTAATGAGGTCTCACTTGTTGCTTGTTGATTAATGTCTGTCTGTTTAGAAAATCCTTGCCTACACCTATATCCTTTAATTTACTACCAATATTTTTTTCTAATAGTTTCAGGGTTTCCAGTTTCACATTGAGGTCTTTGATCCATTTGGAGTTGACTTTTGTGCAAGGTGAAGGATAAGGATCTAGTTCCATTCTTCCACAGGTGGAGATCCAGTTTTTCTAGCACCATTTGTTGAAGATGCTGTCCTTTCTCCATTGTATGTCTGGTATAGTAAAACCCCCAGCATTGTTCATTGTGCTCAGGGTTGCTTTGGCTATCTGGGGTCTTTTGTGCTTCCATATGAATTTAAGGATTTTTGTTGTTGTTGTTTTTTTGAGACAGGGTCTCCCTGTAGCCCCAGCTGGCCTGGAACTCACTATGTAGACCAGGCTGGCCTTGAACTCACAGAGATCTGCCAGCCTCTGCCTCCCAAGTGCTGGGATTAAAGGTGTGCGCCACCATGC